GGTCTTGCCTGCGCCGCGCATGCCGACAATGATGATCGTCGCTTCGGGGTCGTACTGAGCAACAGCGGGTCCATTGTGTGTGAGTTCGATACCCTCGACGTCGATGCCAATCTATATGCGGCCGTTAGACCCGTTATGAAACTCCCCGAATCCGGAACCTACCTTGTTCGTAAGATCATCCCACCAGTTCGGCCATGTCTTTTCGACACAGCGCTTCTCTTCCAGAATCGTGCCGGGCACAACACATGCCAAGACAGAGAATGCCATCGCCACGCGGTGGTCATCGTAGCAATGAACCGAAACGTTCTTGTTCAGAGTTTCGATTGGCTGGCCATAGACTTCGAGACCGTCGTCGAGTTCCTTGGTCTTTACTCCGAATTTGGCTGTATTCTGTTAGTAGAGTTATATGCGCGGGTAAAAACACCTACCAAGTTCATCAATCATCGCACGGATACGGTTGCACTCCTTGACACGCTGGTTTGCGATACCCAATATCCTCGTCGTGTTCTTGGGCGCGTCAGGTTCAAGACCTTCAGCACTGCCGTTTCCACAGACAGCAGCAAGGGCGACGGCCGTCAAGAATGCGTCGGTCATAGTCTCCATGTCCACCAACCCGATCGCCTTGAGTTGGCCAATGGGCGGACCAGTGACAGTCGTCTCGTTTTCGCTTTGCTCGACCTTGCAGCCCATGCGCTTGAGGACATTGACTGCGAACCCGGCATCACCCTGGAGCGAAGAGGTACCAATGTTCTCGATCGTGCAAGTGGTACCGGTCATGGCAGCAACAGCGAGAGGATAGGTTGCGCTGCTCGCGTCAGACTCGATGGCGTATTTTTCGGGGTTGGTGTAGCGCGCACGGGGGATATCATAAATGTCGAGAAGAGTGCCGTCTGCGGCCTTGCGCCTAGTGACTTCAACACCGAATGTCTTCATCATGGCCAAGGTCATGTCGATGTACGGCTGGGAGATAACCTGGCCGCCAACGAGCTCGAGCACGACATCCTGATCCCGGGCATATGGCGCGCACAACAAGATACTCGACACGTACTGGCTCGACACGCTCGCCGCAAGCTGGATCGTTCCACCCTTGAGACCGCCGGCACCAATGTGGAGCGGAAGGCATCCCTCGGACTCGATATAGTTGATCTTGCTGCCGTTGGCACGGAGAGCATCGACAAGTGGACCACACGGACGTTGCTTCATGCGGGCATTACCAGTGATAAAGGTGTAGCCATCGGGAAAGGCTGCGGATGCGGTCGCAGAGGATGGGTCGGGCCCGACAAGAGTGCAGACAGAGGTGAGGAAGCGAGCAGCGGTACCGGCGTTGCCGAGGTAGATTTCCTTGCCGACGGGGGGAATGGTAAAGGCTCCTCCACCGCCAGTAACGACGAGGGTCTCGCCACCATCTTCCCAAGCAAACTTGGCGCCCTACGATTGCCCTTAGCGACTGTATGCGGCATATTGTCTGGATCTCACCTTGAGCTCAATAAGAGCACTCATCATGACCTGAGTGTCGTCGCTGTGGAGCAAGTTGCGGAGACGGCAGGTACCGTTGCCGAGAGCGGCGAGGACGAGCGCACGGTTGGAGATACTCTTGCTGCCAGGTGTGCTCATGCGAACGGGAGTGTTACGAGGGATGCCTGGAATGACACGAACAGCCTCGGCCAAGACGCGGCGAATAACCTCGTCCTTGACACCGGTTGCTTTCTCCTCGTACGTCTTGCCGATGCGCGAGAGCAGCACAATCTTCTTCTCGGGGCCCGAGTTCTTCTTGTCAATTTTCATGATATCGAGGAGGCGGTCAATAGTGAGCAGGCGCGAAGCCGGGACAGCTTGAATGCGCGGGTCCTTGACGGTCACCGGGAGACCGTAGGCCTTGAGGGCGCGGGTGAGACGGCCAACGCCGACTTGGCTAAACACGCCGAGCTGACGGGCCACCTCTCCTTCAAGGATCATGCCAATAGCAACACACTCGCCATGGAGAATGGTCGGAGTAAGAACGGCCTCGATCGCATGACCGATGGTGTGGCCAAAGTTGACGAGGTTGCGCAAGCCAGTCTCGCGCTCATCGAGGGTGACGATATGAGCCTTGACGTGGATGCTCTCGGTGATAACATGCAGGAGGAGGGCCTGGGATTCGGAGCGGGTGGCGAGGGTTCGTCCGGCGTTGGTCGAGGAGGAGGAAGTGGCGATGGCAGAGAAGAGGGCAGGCGCCGAGGATTCGAGCATCGAGTACTCTTCTTCGTTCCAGATGGCCGCAGTCTGAAAGTATCACGTGAGTCTTATCGGCCGAGACAAAACACCAAGATTTGACTCACCTTGATAACTTCAGCCATGCCATTGACAAACTCGCGCTGAGGGAGGGTCTCGAGATAGGCAGCGTCGATAAAGACGTAGGACGGTTGCCAGAAGGAACCGATCAAGTTCTTGCCGTGTGGGGTATCGATCGCAGTCTTGCCGCCAACCGAAGAGTCGACCATGGCCAAGAGAGTAGTGGGAATTTGAACAAAGCGCACGCCACGCATGCTATAGCCATGTTAGGCCAGGACAGGGGACATGTAGCTAGTGCTTACAAAGTTGCGGCGACGAATCCAACAAGGTCACCAATGACACCCCCGCCAAGTGCGAGGATGACAGTGTCGCGAGTGCACGCATTGTCGAGCAAAAAGTCTTCGATCTCAGCCTTGCCCTCGCGGCTTTTGCTCGTCTCGCCAGGTGGGATAACATGGGTGAGGAATCGAGTAGTGTTTTCGGGCTTGGCGGCAAAAGCTTCGGCAAAAGCAGACTCAAACTTTTCAAGATGGCCAAAGCCAGCGACGCGGGTGTCGGTGATTAGAACATAGGTCGAAGCGGGGAGAGTAGAAAGAACGGTGTGGACAATGTACGGAGTGAGATGGAAGCCGCAGTGGATGGAGTCCTTTCCGAGGATGGAAACCTTGGTGAGGTCGGGCTGTTCGACGCTGGCCATGGCGTAGGTCGTGTGAAGTGCCAGGTGCAGAGCGAGGCTCTATATAATGGCTGCTGTGGGAGTTCTCCAGGGGCGTGCGACCAGATACGGGCTCAACTAGGCTCGATTGCGGTCACCAGCGTATGCGCGGGAAAGTACAGTAGAGCGTGCGCCCGGATCTAATTGTTCCGGCTGTGGTCCGACCCCGGACTAAACGCCGGTAAATGCAATTTCGGGCCCAATGTATCATCATAGAGCCGATGTTGCCCAAACGTCGATGAATAGACTTGTGAACAACGAACTGTACGATTGAGACAAGGGTTCGAACTGCTCAATCGGTCTTCGCCTTGACCTTGCGGCGCAATGCCGATGGGCACGTTTGTTTGGCGAGGATCCCATTGCTGGAATCCTGGTTCAACCGAGGTCAGAATGCGGGGGATGCCTGAGTTATGATCCATCTTCAGCCTGGGGAATAGGTTTCTGCTGCCGCCACGCGCCAGGGAGAAAGATTATCTTGTGTCCGAGAAAGTGTTTTCTTAAGGGCATTTTAGTGGTGCGATGTTGTGAAGCATGCCGTGGAGGTCGGGTCTGGGCGTATGTTGAACCAAGGTTCCCATGTCATGGGCGCTTAGCATTCTTCTCACGCGCCACATTCAGCCACTCCCACTAGCTTCCTAAACCCCAGTCATGAAAGTACTCGACTAGTTCTTTTGACTGGGTTTCAGAATTAGGATTTGCAGCATTGATCTGAGCTCCCAGCCTCACAAGCATCTTGGACTCGAATGTTGCACTAGATCCTAACTTGCCGTTGAACTCGGTTCTGACCTCCGCGATTCAATCTCACCCATAGGATCGTTTGGGCAAAATCCAATATACGCGCCGGAAACGATTTCATCAAAAAGTTCTGTTGTCAAAATAAGATCACGTACCCACCATGATTCATGCTCCTTTATTACCACGCCCTCTCGAATGCTCTCAGCTACGATGATGGCCCCGATTCGGATGGAATACAGAAGAAATATCCATAATTCTATTTGAAATCATATGATCGAGGTGGTACGCTGAAGTGAAACCGCGCAAGTCACCGCAATCGAGTCTTTGCGGGCTGGAAATCGGTCATACATTGGAAGCCAAGTTGGAATGCGCGCATCACAGAACATAATTTGACGTTTGTGCATATGGTTATTATTAAAGATAGATGTAGATTTGAACGCACACTTTCCCTTGTGTGCTGTACCCGAATAAGATTAAATTGTGAACAATAGGACTCCTTCGTTGCGACCACCCTGTACGGCGATATCATGTAGGGAATTACGTGTTGTTCTAAGATATGTTTGGATTATAATGGTGCTGAGCCAGGATAGTATATAAAACTGCAGGAAAACGATAGTTGGGTAGTAACGGCCCAGGCGTCAGTAATAGGTATAGAATGATGCAGTTGACTACCGCCGCCCAGATATGCGACGTGTTGCATACCTCGTCATCCATGGTCGAAAAAGGCGCAATGGCATCTCTGAGCTCGATTATTTGGGAGACAATCAATGGGAGCAGACTGGAGGAGCTCAGCTTGGGAAAGTCAGAGATACCAGAAACCTGTCATCAACACGGGTGCGGAAGTTCACATCCCTCAAATTTGGTATCTTGTGGAACATGGTATTATAGAGTCATGTTGAGAGTCTATACCAGTATAATGGATCTCGTCGAGTCGTTGTTGATTCAGGGCCCAATCACCACCTCGTCTTTAGCCCACAACATTTTCGCGATTTATAGTTCAGTTTATATGTCCTTCTGCTACCTTTGCGCGTGTTTATTATGGCCACCAATTACCAGTTCACCTTTCATAAAGCTGTTCTTCAAGAAGCTCAAACGCATACAATCAGTCTGAGTCACGTGTTGCAAATTTTTCGTTCACCATCTCTCCCACGTGTCTCAGCTACCTAGATGAATCAACCAGCTATATGCGCGCCACAGATGCATATTTTGGTGCTATTGGATAGTATAATTATGCACAAACAGCGGTGAACTTGATAGCTTAAGCCCGTTTCTTCTCGATGGGCATGTAGTGTAGCTGGTTATCGCGCCTCATTTGCATCTGTCCGGACTTGAACCGGATAAAAAACAAGTTGAGGAGGCCTCCGGTTCGAGTCCGGACTTGTCCACTCTTTTTCGCGCAGTTTGGGTTGCTTATCTCGAACCCAGAGCGTTATTTTATGTGTTTTGAATGATTCTAGTACGAGAAAACATCAAATTAGACCTGTTGGTGCCGTTTTTCTTGAAAATTTATCCTATTATCGTCAATTATCCAAATGATCTGCAGCAGGCTACCAACTGGCTCGTTAACTCATGCTAGATTGCTCCGGGAAGCTAGATAAAGATGCGAAATCGTTAGGCGGGTAGGTCACGTGCCACGAGTTCCCAAGGAGTTGCCGCGCCTCCGTAACTGATATGAGTTATACACAACCCGTGTACGGGCTCTTCGAAAACGTGATGAGTTAACCTATGAATCTGTTGATTTAAATAGAGCAGCGATTTACCCTTTCGTTATTGGGTTTAGGTGATTGTAGGGTCCTTAGGTAGAACACTTGCAGTAGCTCCTGAATTTCGATCGGTATATGCTCTACTATTAACATCAAGATTGATATTTTAGTGGTTCTTGCACCGATTAAGGCCAGCACTTCACTACAGACAAGTGTGATTCTGCTTTTTCACGACACAACTTTGGATGTGGTATATCCAATAGTATTGTGTAGACCATAATATTTCAACGCCCAACCCTTCGCCTGCCTTTCCATCCAGAACGAACAGTTTATATCCACGACTTAAGAGGGCCAACAAGGTTGAAAATCGCATTTGTGATTCGCCAGAACCTTGGCTTCTGCCACATCTCGATGTGATTATCTCGAGCCTCGTCTGTACTTCCGAGTTTGACGGAATATTCTAAAGAACCAATCCGCTAGAGCGAATAGAAAAAATACATATAGAATCACTCTTACGAGTCGCCTTAGCAGACGGATTTAGCCAGGCCCCTGATGTTGTGACTGGTCTTGTTCCTTTCCTAGCTGTAGTGCTTCCTCGTATAGCTCATACCATTTCGATAGAGGGACCCTGACAATTTAAGGCCAAATAGCTGTGATCAACCGTAAATCTTTGACCAGGTTTTGATGGGATATGCGAGTTCGATGTCAAGACTACTAGGAGGGATTCGATAGACGCAGGCTCTAGTGATGGACGCATTACCCCATCTTTTTACACGATTACATACGGAGGGGGCGATCACTATAGACGTAGCGACCATGAGAGCAAAAATTTAGAAGTCACGAACAGAATATGTGAATGATGAGCTGCAGAAGAGAACTCCGAAAGAACAGCTGTCCGGAAAACGGAGGAGAGAACATAAGACTTCTTGTCCACAACACGTTGGATTCCAATAGATCACTATGGGGTTTGTTCGCCACTCGAAAATTACAGCAGGTTCGAGACTTGGATACAAGCAAAAACTACATATAGGTAGTATGGCAATTGGTCTTGGCGTGTACAATATGCTTCTAAGATCCCATACCATACGCGACCATCAGGGCAAGGCCACCTTCTTGACTAACCACCTTAGGGAGAAGGTAAGAATCGAAGAAAGGAGCCACTGCCAGTCCTGGAGAAGCAGCAAATCTTGGGTAAAGTGTAGTGAAGTATAACCGAACGGCAATGTAAAACGGATGGAAAGGATCGCCAGATTGTTTTTTCGATAGGGCAAACTCAGGTGGCCAGGAACTAAGTAGCCAAAGCCTATGCCGACATCCCACAATCATATCTTCGGTATGGCCTTCATCAATTGATATGTGGGCGACCGACGTCGGTCAATCACATGTGAGCGAAAGAATAAAGCACTCGTTCGCATCCAACAACTGAACATCCTGTGAGTCTCGAATGGCGAGCAAACACCACTGCGGTCTATTGAAATGCAACATGGTGTAAAGCCCTCTACTTATAGCTTTTCTTCATGTTTTCTATAGTGCGGTTCTTACTCACTGCGTGTACTTGGATGTCATGTTGATCGCGCCTTCCTTCGAGTCTGCTGGGAGTCGTACAAGAACGCTACTGAGGTGGAGCCATTCTTGAAACCCACGTGATTCCTTGGACAACATGTGGCCAAGGTTTCACGGCAAGCTGCGAATCTGGAAAAAGAAACTACCTGGGAAAACTCTCAAAACAAAAGGCCGTACCCGGGTTCGAACCGGGGTTGCGGGAAGGTTGCACAGAGTCAAAATCCCGAGTGCTAAACCACTACACTATACAGCCGCGACATTTTGCTTTAGTGTTGCTATACAAAAGATATTTCCTCAAACCTGTGCATGTTCCATCGTTCCAACTTGCAGCGAATCTATGGCCACATCCGGCCACTTTTGTGATCATCTCCTCACGCGGTAGGAAGCAAGACACCAGTTCTGGAGCCTTTGTTATGTGCTCTGTGACTCGCTTACGTTTTTACCGTGTCCGCAAGCTACGGTACGTCCTACGACGGTTAGGCTCGCTAGTCCAGTCTGTCTAATTCGGTCACGGTGGATATTTTGGTGAGCAGGACGGAGGTTGGGACAGACCACGTCGCGAAGGTTCGAGCAGGAAGAGCGAAAGAACTATGAGTGCTCGAAGTGGACAAAAGGATAACCTGGGGGGAGCTCGATGTGAGGTCCTAGCACTTGAGGCTTCGATGGGCATCTGATGTGTCAGCATCAAAGCTTACCAAAGGGTGCTCTTGGGATATTCTTGCTAACCAGCTTGGCTATCCTTGCTTGTTTATATTGTCCCACCGGTGAGACGCATGTCGTTGTTGCGGCTCCGAAATCGCCGCGCATACAATATAGTTCATATTTTTGAATACAGTATCCGCACCATCGCGATCGACAAGATTACAGCGAACACTTGTTTCATGCTTTCTTTCGACAACTTGCGCATGGTGTTCAATCTTGGTATATAGTGACATGCAAATAGGTCGTTCTGGGATCTAGATAAACTTGTTTATTGCAACCAAAACAGCAGTTTTTTTTTCAGGGATATTCTCAGCCAATCCCCGAATGTCTAGCTAGCACGTTATAAGGCCCCACTGTCTATCGATGCTTCTGAGCGCTGACGAGATGCCGGTAGCACCGGTAGGCCGTGCTACTTCGGATCTAGTGAGCGCTAAAAAGCATCGTTAGACAGTTCGAGCTAGTGTATGCTAGCTAGATATTTGGGGATTGGCCGAGTTTTGAGTCGTTACCGCTGAGGCGAGGATGCGTTGCATGTAGGCAAGGAGCTATCACACAGTCAGCCGAGTGGAAAAGGGATACAATTGAATGACTCGAGATTGCGCAATCATCGTCTGAATGCAAAGAGGGGTTAGAGAACAAAGCCTCACCAGGACTGAATACATACAATCAACGTGCAGCCTTGATTTCCTCTCTGGATTTAAATCCGGCTTGTTCTGTATGCATCACTCTCGCCTTGTCCAAATACTCAAAGGTCTTTGGGTCAGTACAGCCTGCCGTAAACAATTGGGCGACCCATGCCCGAACAAACTCCTTACTAGCGTATGGCGTGAGTACTTGCTTCTTCAAATATCAACAACCTACCGGGAACTTGATCTGCTCCAGGTGATTGGTGACGCTTTCGAGCCGCTCGGACAGCTTCCCTTGGAGCGCAGTGTTATGCCCCATAAACGACGCACGAGTGATATCAAACGAGAATAATTTCTCATCTGCCAGTGGTACGGAACCAAAGCGGGGTCCACGCATACGGATCGCAACACACACAACAACGGTGGCCCCGTCAATAAGCCCTTTTACAATCGGAAGGGCGGCGCCACATCCTTGGAGCCGAACTAAATAAACTTCGCCAGCTAATCTATTCGTGCCGGGAGTCTATTACTCTGGGCTTAACGTGTTGTATTTCTTCATATTGTAGAAGGAGGTGCTGTAAAAGCTCATTTTCTTGAGTTCGATTTTTTGTGCCTCCTAAAGTCTGAAATAGTCTTGCTAGGAGCCAAGTCTTATTGGGATGAGGTCAATATCTTGGCAAATATGTCAGCCGCGTAATCGTTGCGTATGAACACCGGAGTCAAAGCGAACGTCATGCGCCGTGACATAGGGGCCACCATCCTTCTTTAATATCGATGTGCAGCTGTGAGCGAGATATTTAGACATATGCACGCCAGAGAGTAGTTGAAGAGTAGAAATGTGGAATGATGATGGAATATAAAAATAGCTAGAGGTTACTAATTCCTCGCTGTCAAATAACTGATATTGATACACGAAAGTAAAAGAGCAGATAAAGTACAGAATGCTCGCGTACACTCAACCACTTCAAGCCTTGGAATACAAAACCCAAACTAGTGCAAGGGCCAACACGAGAACGAGCCCTTGCATTACGTTTTCCTGGGGCACTTTCTTTGTTCCATGCGACTTTGGAATGTAATGCCTCGCAAATAGGTCGTTTTGGATCCACATGACCTTATTGATAGCTAACAAGACAGCCGTTTTAGTCTCCTCAGTCAAGTTCTGCGCCATTACTGCAGAGGTAAGCATGCTTTGCACATATCCAAGAAGCTACCGAGAGCAGAGTTGTTCAGGCCAGGGTCGATATCACAGGTACTAAATACTTACGATTGCGCAGTGAATATCTAAAAGCAGTCTGTCAGTTACATATAGGAACTTTAGATAAGGTCACTTGCAATCGACGTGCAGGCGAGAGCTTTTTTCTCTGTGTTTGAATCCAGCCTGGCCTGTGTGCATGATCCCGACTTTGTCAAAATATTCAAACGTTTTTGGGTTGCTGTAGTCCGCTGTAAACACTTTGGCGACATATTGCCTCAAAAAGTTTTTCCTAAAGGGGTATGGATATTACGTCGCAGAGGTACACGGAATTAACGTACCGGAACTGAATTTGCTCCGAATTGTGCGTAATATCCTCAAGTCTCGTTGCTACTTTTCCTTGGAACCCAGTATTGCGCTCCATGAATGAAGCGCGAGTGATATCAAACGTGAACAATTTTTCGTCTATAAACGTTCATCTGGGTTAGAAACTGCAAGCCGGTTTGATTTTCGGCCTCCAGATACTCACACACGGCATCAACAGCCCCTGCAATCAAATCCTTCACGATGGGAGCGGCAGTATGCAAAGCTGCCGCATC